GGTGGATATTTATTTAATCATGGTTACTCTTCTTCTTTAACTGAGTATCAGGCTTGAAGAAACTGATATATTGTTTATTAGCCCCTAAGAAATTAGCACCAATGAGGGAAGAGTTGCTAAAAATAGCATGGCGCAAATCAGTTTTTTCAAAATTTGCTTTATCTAAGTTAGAGTTTGTGAATTTAGCTCCATTCAATATGGAATTAGAAAAATCAACATTATTTAAATCCATATTATCGAAATTAAAATAGGAATAGTTTACGTCAAATTTTCTTGCTTGTGATACCCTATCTTGTAGCTCTTGAATTGAAGTTATAGCATCTTTTAACTCTCCAAGTTTGTTCTGTGCTGTATTCTCAATAAAAATTGAATTGTCGAATTGACAGCCTATTAGATTAGTATTGATAACTGAGCTTTTGTATATACTTGATGATAGAAAAGATACATTGCTGATGGTAGAGTTATCAAAATTGCTGAGGAAAAAGCTGGTTTTTTTTAAGATATTGTTATGTAGTGAAGAGTACTTGAAATCACTTTCAATAAAGTTCGAGTTGGTTACTTTTAAGTCAGACCAGTATGCATTATTGGCCATCAAATTGAAGAATATTGAATTTTCTATACTACTGGAATCAATTCCATGCTTAGAAAGGGTGCTATTGTATATCTGAGAGTTTTTAATTTTAACATCATGCATTGAAGATAATGACAGGTCCGTATTCTCCAGTTTTGTAAAATCAAACAGTGCGTGATCAAAAAACGTGTTGTTCATATCAGAATTTGCAATTTTAGTGTGATAAAAATTTCCCTTGCGTATGTCAGCATTATAGGCATTCACTCCATTTAACTCACTAAAACTAAGGTCCGCTCCGAATAATGCTGTGTCTTTCAAATTCACATTTGAAACATAAGAATATTTTATCTGAGCATTATTCATTATAGCCTCACAGAAGATTGAATAATTGCTCCTTACATAAGAGATTTTTGCATTACTTAGGTCAACTCTACTAAAGTTACTGTCAATGATAGTGGAAGAATCAAGGTAAGCGTTATTGAGATTACTGCCTGTAAAATCTGATTCTTTAATTTCTGCACCATATATGATAGCATTTTTCAGTGAGGAAAATTGAATGTTTAATCTTTGTGCATATACACTAAAAAAATTAGTATAATCAAGATTACTTTTTTGTATTGCAGTATTGTAGATTTCACTGTTATTAAAATTTGCATAGCTAATGTCTGAATTTGACAAGTCAGATAAAGTCATTTTTGCATTTGAGAAGTCTGTGTGTATACCTACTACATCATTCATACTTACCCTTCTTAAGTCAGAGCCTCTAAATTCAGCGTAACAAGCGTCAGATTTATTAAATGCGACATCTACCAATCTAGTAGAAGTAAATTTTGCGAAACTTAAATCTGTATCTTTTATATCAACATTAGATAAATTAGCATTAGAAAAATTTGCCCCACGCAGATCTGTATTAATAAAAGACACATCAGATAAGTCAGTATTAGAAAAGTTGGCACCTATTAAACTTACTCCAGAAAAAATAGAGCCTTTTAAGTATAGCTGACTAAAATCGGCTCCATTTAAGTTAGATCCAAAACCCTTATTAAAATCTTCAGGCACCCCTTGTTTGCGACACTCTTCTAGAAATTTAGCAAGATCTTTTTTATTGAGAGATGTATTTTTTGTATTATATAGAGTACTGAAAAAGCTACCTATAGTATTATTATCTTTCTTGTTAGACTCAACTTTCGATGGTGATTTTATTTTCGATATATTTTGTAAGCACATCATAATGTGCTTGTTTTTCTCGTCATGAGTAGATTTCGTCAAAGGTTCATTCTCGTCCTTACCGAAGTACGAACAACAGATAAAAATTAATATTAATAATCTAGTAATCTGCATCGCACTTTGACTCATTATCTTTTTTTGTTTTTATAGCCCAGTTATACATTGCCGAGTCTTTTTTATTGTTTATTTTTTTATGTTCTACAAGGCGCGGGGTCATTTCTGCAATTGCATTTATTATACCGACGTGCTTCTTTGTAATTGCTATATCCATGGCAGACTGAAAATTATAATTAACCGAATTAAGTTCAGAACCTTGTAATAATAGGAACCGCACCATATCTATTTCACCCCACTTCGCTGCATAAATTAAAGGAGTATCTCCTAATTTATTTCTCGATTTTAGTGATTCTTCAATACTTAACCCAATTTTTTCCAATTTATTTATTATTCCCCGTAAACAGGATAAATTGTTCTTTTTAATGCAGTAAAAGAGCTGTTTGCTATAATCATGAACAAATACAGATGTTGGTAAATGTTCATTCAGACTATCATATTGTCGTTTATATATTAATTTGCTGTGTGAGTTTTCGCGAGCCCACCCACCTATTCGATCTCTCTTTAATTCTAACCATTGTTGTAATTTTTTACGTTCGTTTTCTTCTTTAGATTTTGCAACTATAGGCTTTTCAAGCCTTTGTATATTCTTTTTTTGATTGTCTGTTTTATAGGTATTTTCTTTGTTTTGTGGCATTTTATCTATCGCAAGCTCACTTTCTTTTTTTTGATCGGCTTTTTGTAGATGAGCTGCATTCTCATCAGCATCAGAAGGGTCAGAATTTTGTTTTTTTGGTAGCTCTTGAATAATTTGTTGTTCTGGCGGTGATACTTCATTAGATTTTTTATTCAGATCAATTCCTGTTTGATTTGTGCTTTTTTGAGTATCACGCTCTTGTTTTTCTTCTAAAGATTTTTCATCATCAATAGGGTTTATAAGATGTCTATGGATCATATCTAAAGTTTCTTCATCTAAAGTTTTTATATCTAGCAACTCAGGCAATGAGTACTCGTCATGTTCTTTATTGTTTTTATTAGTAGCCTTTTCAAGGCTTTCATCTGTTTCTATGTCTTCTTCATCTAAAATTTCTAGGTGGTGCAACTTAGCAAGCATGGATATATAATCTTCTTCGTCAAGAATATCATTTATTTTTTTATTTTTAGTTTTTTGTATTTCGACAGTAAATGTCGCAAGAGATCCAAATAAACTAATTAATAGCACAAAGTACAAAATATTTTTCATATACATTCCAAGTGTAAGTTACTATAGCAAAATATTCCATGATATTACTCACAATTTATTAAAAAATCAACATAAGCTGCAGTTGTTTCATCAGATTTATACTTTTTTTTAAATATTCCAGAGGTCTTTTTCCAGAGATACGTTATACAGTTTAGAGATAAATTATACAATTTATTGATCTGCACTACTTCCGTTGGCGAAGTAGTATTAATTTCAAGCAAAAAAAAATCGTCCATAATATGGATGCCTAAAATGTTAATCCTCGTTTTTCTAATTCAGGACCAATTTTATTACATATTTCATGGCCTCTGTCATTTATTTCAGCGGGTTCATAAATTTCTGCAAGCCTCATATTTGTTCTTATTTCTCCACTAATCTTAGGAACTCGCTTTATTATTCCTGTTGACTTACCGTCTAACAATAACGCCCTATTGTTCATCTATATATTCTTGCAAAATAATTGTGCAATTACATGACGTCCATGTTTTGCTATCATCAATTCCGTTACTACTTAAATAGTACTTCATCTTGTCCTCACTACATCATTTCGACCATAACTGTACATGGGTTTTAAGATTATTCTTCGCATTTGCAAGAAAAATCTTTGATCATCGATGTGTTTCTGTAATTAAAGTTGGCAGAATTAAGTCTGAGAACAATGAAGTGATCAATTTTTTTGGCAATCTCTTATTTCTATTGGATTGTTAATTACCATTACATTGATTTTTCTGGATATAGGTTGTTGTAATATAACGCATATTAAAAGGTGGATTTCATGATAAAGAAAATTTCCACTTCATTTAGGTTGATCTCTATATCCTCTCTAAAGATAAAACTATAGTTATCAACACTAACACTCTGAGCTAAAGCAATAGGTTGGTTTAACCTTAGTGCTAAGGGATATATAAAAACCTCGTGATTTCTATTTTGTGCTTCTTTTATCAGTAAAACGTAGCATCGGCTTTGCCGTTTATACTTTCATCCATCTAAAAACTACTTTCATCTATATGCCTTTAATGTATTGAGGTATACATTATACTCATATCAATTGATTTAAAAATGTTTCATCAAGTATCATTTTCTCTGTATTATTAAGATAACTCAGGAATGGTGTGAGGGGTTATTGTGTTATTACCATCCATAAGATGGAATTCGCTATTTATGTTTTTCATCTATGCGATTTCTATATTGACTGTAGCAAGATCATAAACGTGCTCTTTTTCTTTATGGTAATTATGATACTCAAGTTGGCCATTGCTTTCAAAATAAGCAAATTCATCGGATCAGGTCCCTACTTTTTTCACCCTTACAGCTTTTAACTAGCTCAAATAGATCAATAGCTTAATTTTGTGATCAGGCTCATAGAGCCTAGCTGCATGTGCAGATTATTTATTAAGTAATATGGTGGCCAATAGACTTGTTTGAAAGTTACATAAAGCAGTTTTTGAAAGATGCAGTCAATGATCTGTATAGGATGAGAAACCAGATAATTGATAGTATTAGTATATCATTTTATAAATTTTTTACAAGCAGACAAGATTAAGTTACAAGCTACACGCATAATGATAAGTTGTATAAAAAATTAAAAGAAGATCGATATAAAAAAGCTTATCCTATATACACCATCAATGATAGATGATTAATCTAAGATTACAGAGAGAAAGCGTCTAGAAAAAAAGCTCTCGAACCACTTGAATGTTTTTGGTACATTTGGTGAATGTCGACAAGTGAAAGAGGCTCGGAAAGTGTTAATTGAGCATATCTGTGAGTCGATCATTATAAATTCACAAAGAGAGAGGAAAATCAATTTTCTAAGCAGGCCAAGTAAATGGTTTGGATAACTTTCATATTCGGTTATTACATCCTATGATGAATGAATATGTGGCAACTTCTTTACATTGGGCAGTTAAAAGTGGTAGTGTATGTTTATCAAAGAATTTATTAGAAAATGGTGCAAATGTTAATGCAGTAGAAGGTGTTTTAAAAAAAAGATACTGTAGTTCAAAAGTACTACTACCAATCTCATCAGTAACTCAAAGAGCATCTTTATAGCTTCGTTATGGCCTATAATATAGCCTGCAATTCCAGCATTGGTGATATCTTTGCATTTCTGTATGCCATCATTTGTGATATCACGATAATATTATGTTACAAGACTTTTAGGTTTGATAATTTGCGCCAATTTTATTAATACTTAATCAGTAATGTTGGCGCAATTGTAAAGAAAATGGTGATCAATTTTATTTATTACGCTTAAGTTTTTCACATCACTATCTTTAATATCAGAGTTAAAAAAAAGTGAAGTTTGGCAAATGACAAATAATTAAAACTTCTATAAGTGATTGCATATTTACACCACTGCAATTCTTTACTACCAATGTACTTCGATGCATTACACAATTTTCTAAAATGCTTTCTGGATTCATAATTCTAGCCCTCTAAAAATATGATCGATCATGCATAATCTTAATTATTTGCAATAAATTTTATGCAAAGCCTATAAACTTTTTCACCTTTATTAATACATTGGGTAGAGGGTGCATTGATACTTGTCCTTCTAGCCAAGATGCAACATCAATTTTTTTTCTTCCGATACAGATCTTCAAGCAAGATAGGATCGAAGCCCCAGCATAACACTCTATATTTTTTATATTTAGTGAGAAATTTTATTATTTCCTCTTGCATCCTTCAAACCTTGTATAGTCATATTCTGCATAAATATTGCAATTTCTTTTTTTTTAAATCCTCGAACTTTTGTTTTATCTCTCTGTTCTCCCTTATTAATTCTTGTTTTTCTTTTTTTTTCAACTCTTGGTGAATTTCCTCCAATACTTGATTCCTCCATTCTAGCACTTATTTTCTTCTCTCAACTCTTGGTTCTCCTCCTCAAGTTTTTCGTTACAAAGCTTCACATTTTTTGATTCATGTCTGTGCCTTGTTCCAACTCCTTCACTGTAATAAGATTTCTCTTTTCTAAAGCCCCTCCAAGTAATCGACCCACCTAACTTTGCACCTCTATCAACTCCTTGTTAAATTATAAACTGTGCTACCTTTGGTTTCCTCCTTGTCTCTTTTTGCCTTTTCTATTTTCTTTTTTTTGATTTAAGAATCAAGTGATTGATCTCAGGTTCAGCAACATTGATACCTTCATATAACATATTTTTTAGAGTAATTATGTTCTTAGGGATATCGTAAATGCACCCAACTTTTTAACTGCAATTTCACTTTATCCTTTTCGAGTACTTTATAATCACGCCATAAACCTTCTTCTTTTCCCCTCCTAATTTATCTATTAGTTTATCTAGTTCACTCACCTCATTTGTATACGTTGGAATAAGATCCTTAATAAATCTTCGTTATACTTCTTTCGTTGAATTCTAGCCTCCACTAAAAAATTGTTCATAATAAATATACGTAAGATGTAAGAGGTATATCTTAAAACGCACGCTAAATTTAATTTTATAAGCATGCCATGTGCTTCTCTCGTTGTTTGTGATGGCTATGAAGTGCTTCCTGAAGATTTTGCATCATAATAACATTTTTGGATAATTGACACCACACTTACCACTGATGCAGCGATATTGCTAGATATCACAAAAAGTGAACCTTGACAGAGACCATAGCCAAGCCAAGATAATGAACAAAGAAGACAGTTCGCTAGCATTAGCATTGATATATCACGAGTAAGTTTAGTGATATGCGCTTTATATACTTGAGGTAATAACCCAACTATAGTTGTAACCAACGCAATAAAGCCAAAGAATTCTTCTATGTGCATATATCTTCCATATTTAATTTTCAGTTTTGTGTTCTTTAGTATTTTAACTGTAATTTAACATACAGTTATTTAACTTATTAATCAAGAAGTCTCACAGACCTGGTATCTTAAAAAAGATAGTTTACTTCAAGTACATTATTTGCTAGCATTCAAGATACAATATCGGCTACAGAGCAACATGTTAAAGATTCTTTTTAAAACTTTATTGATATTAATGCTTTTGACTTGTAGTTTTTTTTTCATGTACAATGCTGTTGCTAGAACAAAATTAAGTAGGAAGTATATACCTCCTGGTAATCCCGGTGGTGCAAATTTTAATGCAGATGAGGAATTTGCTGAGTCATATAAATTATATGAAAAGCGTAGAGAATTGCTAAAAAAAAAGAAGTTACAAGGTGAGGCTAATAAAAATCTCACTAGGGAGGGTTTAACTAAAACGCTAAAAGAAAAGAATATTGTTAACTCTTACGATGAACATCAAGGGACTTGTATAGTAGATGATGAAGGAGATGCCATGATAGATCAACATGGCATCAATCTTGCACGTTTAAAAGGTGCTGTGTTTGTAGATCGCGAAGAAGTCCTTCGTGACAACAATCAGCAAAATAGGCCCAAAAAGATTTCTCCCGTTAGTGTTGCTATACAGGATGCTTCATTTGAAAAAATGATATGTACTCATGATTCTATTAATGATTTAAAGATGAACACTTGTTCAAGTGATTCAACTTTATTTGACAGTGTTGTTGATGCAGCAGAATAGCCCGGCATTATAAATTATATGTTAGATATAGATGATACTCTTTATAGGCGCAGGCATAAAACTCATGTTGTACAAGTTGGAAGGGTAAAGATAGGTGGTGATAATCCTATAGTAGTACAATCTATGGCACTTGGTGTTCCTATAGACCTATGCAATATACAAAACAGTGCCAAACAGTATGCAAAAGAAATAGTAGAGCTAGCACGTGCAGGTTCGGAGTTAGTAAGAATTGCCTTAAATTCAGAGGAGGTAGTAAAATCAATACCTTATATAGTTGAGGAGATAAATAAAGAAGGGTTTGATAGTAAGATATTGGTAGGATGTGGGCAATATGAGCTGGATAGGTTAGTTCAGAATTATCCGGATAATATTAAAATGTTGGGTAAAATCAGAATCAACCCAGGTAATATAGGGTTCGGTCACAAACGTGATGAGAAATTTGAAAGGGTAATAAAGTATGCAATAGAGCATAATATGCCTATCAGAATTGGAGTAAATTGGGGCAGTCTTGATAAACGTATATTACAGAAATTGATGGATGAGAGCTCCAGCACTTCTGATATTATACTACGAAAAGCGCTTGTTATGTCTGTTCTGGGTAGTGCAAAAAAAGCTGAAGAGATTGGTCTTAATTCAGATAAAATAATTATTTCATGTAAAGTTAGTAAGGTACAAGATTTAATTTCAATATATACAGCACTTGCGCAATCTTCCAATTATGCTTTACATTTAGGCTTAACTGAAGCTGGTATGGGCAATAAAGGAGTAATCAATACTACAGCAGGTTTGACTTATTTATTACAAAATGGCATTGGGGATACCATAAGAGCTTCTTTAACTCAACGTCCTGGAGAATCACGCACCGATGAAGTGGCAGTATGTCAGGAAATATTGCAATCTATAGGTTTACGTTACTTTAATCCACAAGTTAATTCATGTCCTGGCTGTGGGCGTACTAGTAGTGATCGTTTTCGTGTGTTGACTCAAGAAGTTAATGATTACATAAAAACTCGTATGCCAGTGTGGAAAGAAAAAAATCCAGGAGTGGAGCGTATGAATGNACTTTACATGGTGATAATATTTTTGAAGAGTTTATAAAGATTATTGATAGTTACGTAACAGAGCATTTTAGAGTTTAGATCTTTATCAAAACTTATCGATACCTAAAATGGTTAAAATAAAGATCTTTTTACTTAATAGCATATTTCATCTAAAATAGGTTTTTATTTATTTTAGATATAGTGAATAAATCGT